TTCATCATTGGGCCCAACGGTTCCAACCACAAATGCCAACTTTGATTCACCATTGGGCCCAACGGTTCCAACCACAAATGCCAACTTTGATTCATCATTGGCTCCAACTGTTCCAACCACAAATGCCAACTTTGATTCATCATTGGCTCCAACTGTTCCAACCACAAATGCCAACTTTGATTCACCATTGGGCCCAACGGTTCCAACCACAAATGCCAACTTTGATTCATCATTGGCTCCAACTGTTCCAACCACAAATGCCAACTTTGATTCATCATTGGCTCCAACTGTTCCAACCACAAATGCCAACTTTGATTCACCATTGGGCCCAACGGTTCCAACCACAAATGCCAACTTTGATTCACCATTGGGCCCAACGGTTTCAACCACAAATGCCAACTTTAATTCATCATTGGCTCCAACTGTTCCAACCACAAATGCCAACTTTGATTCACCATTGGGCCCAACGGTTCCAACCACAAATGCCAACTTTGATTCACCATTGGGCCCAACGGTTCCAACCACAAATGCCAACTTTGATTCATCATTGGCTCCAACCGTTCCAACCACAAATTCCAACTTTGATTCATCGTTGGCTCCAACCGTTCCAACCACAAATGCCAACTTTGATTCATCATTGGCTCCAACCGTTCCAACCACAAATGCCAACTTTGATTCACCATTGGGCCCAACGGTTCCAACCACAAATGCCAACTTTGATTCATCATTGGCTCCAACCGTTCCAACCACAAATGCCAACTTTGATTCACCATTGGCCCCAACGGTTCCAACCACAAATGCCAACTTTAATTCATCATTGGCCCCAACGGTTTCAACCACAAATGCCAACTTTAATTCATCATTGGCCCCAACCGTTCCAACCACAAATGCCAACTTTGATTCATCATTGGCCCCAACGGTTCCAACCACAAATGCCAACTTTAATTCATCATTGGCCCCAACGGTTCCAACCACAAATGCCAACTTTAATTCATCATTGGCCCCAACGGTTCCAACCACAAATGCCAACTTTGATTCACCATTGGCCCCAACGGTTCCAACCACAAATGCCAACTTTAATTCATCATTGGCCCCAACCGTTCCAACCACAAATGCCAACTTTGATTCATCATTGGCCCCAACGGTTCCAACCACAAATGCCAACTTTAATTCATCATTGGCCCCAACGGTTTCAACCACAAATGCCAACTTTGATTCATCATTGGCTCCAACGGTTTCAACCACAAATGCCAACTTTGATTCATCATTGGCCCCAACGGTTCCAACCACAAATGCCAACTTTGATTCATCATTGGCCCCAACGGTTTCAACCACAAATGCCAACTTTGATTCATCATTGGCCCCAACGGTTTCAACCACAAATGCCAACTTTGATTCATCATTGGCCCCAACGGTTTCAACCACAAATGCCAACTTTGATTCATCATTGGCTCCAACGGTTCCAACCACAAATGCCAACTTTGATTCATCATTGGCCCCAACGGTTTCAACCACAAATGCCAACTTTGATTCATCATTGGCCCCAACGGTTTCAACCACAAATGCCAACTTTGATTCATCATTGGCCCCAACGGTTTCAACCACAAATGCCAACTTTGATTCATCATTGGCCCCAACGGTTTCAACCACAAATGCCAACTTTGATTCATCATTGGCCCCAACGGTTTCAACCACAAATGCCAACTTTGATTCATCATTGGCCCCAACGGTTCCAACCACAAATGCCAACTTTAATTCATCATTGGCCCCAACGGTTCCAACCACAAATGCCAACTTTGATTCATCATTGGCCCCAACGGTTCCAACCACAAATGCCAACTTTGATTCACCATTGGCTCCAACGGTTCCAACCACAAATGCCAACTTTGATTCATCATTGGCTCCAACCGTTCCAACCACAAATGCCAACTTTGATTCATCATTGGCCCCAACGGTTTCAACCACAAATGCAAACTTTGATTCACCATTGGCCCCAACGGTTTCAACCACAAATGCCAACTTTGATTCATCATTGCCCCAACGGTTCCAACCACAAATGCTAACTTTGATTCACCATTGGCCCCAACGGTTCCAACCACAAATGCTAACTTTGATTCACCATTGGCCCCAACGGTTCCAACCACAAATGCTAACTTTGATTCATCGTTGGGCCCAACGGTTTCAACCACAAATGCCAACTTTGATTCATCATTGGCTCCAACGGTTTCAACCACAAATGCCAACTTTGATTCATCATTGGCCCCAACGGTTCCAACCACAAATGCCAACTTTGATTCATCGTTGGCTCCAACGGTTCCAACCACAAATGCCAACTTTGATTCAACGTTGGCTCCAACGGTTCCAACCACAAATGCCAACTTTGATTCATCATTGGCCCCAACGGTTCCAACCACAAATGCCAACTTTGATTCATCATTGGCTCCAACGGTTCCAACCACAAATGCCAACTTTGATTCATCATTGGCTCCAACTGTTCCAACCACAAATGCCAACTTTGATTCATCATTGGCCCCAACGGTTCCAACCACAAATGCCAACTTTGATTCATCGTTGGCTCCAACGGTTCCAACCACAAATGCCAACTTTGATTCATCGTTGGCTCCAACTGTTCCAACCACAAATGCCAACTTTGATTCATCGTTGGCTCCAACTGTTCCAACCACAAATGCCAACTTTGATTCATCATTGGCCCCAACGGTTTCAACCACAAATGCCAACTTTGATTCATCATTGGCTCCAACGGTTCCAACCACAAATGCCAACTTTGATTCATCGTTGGCTCCAACTGTTCCAACCACAAATGCCAACTTTGATTCATCGTTGGCTCCAACTGTTCCAACCACAAATGCCAACTTTGATTCATCATTGGCCCCAACTGTTCCAACCACAAATGCCAACTTTGATTCATCATTGGGCCCAACGGTTCCAACCACAAATGCCAACTTTGATTCATCATTGGCCCCAACTGTTCCAACCACAAATGCCAACTTTGATTCATCATTGGCCCCAACCGTTCCAACCACAAATGCCAACTTTGATTCATCATTGGCCCCAACTGTTCCAACCACAAATGCCAACTTTGATTCATCATTGGCCCCAACTGTTCCAACCACAAATGCCAACTTTGATTCATCATTGGCCCCAACCGTTCCAACCACATAAGCCAACGCTGGGCCAACATCGGGCCGCACGTTTACCGTGAGGCTGACGGCGTTCACGCCATTCGCTCTGTCGTTTGTCTCGTGGCGGGGGGGGGGAGGAGGAGCAGGAGGGGGTCGCGATGGCTCTCGTCGGGACGAGACCCGAGCACGACGTTCAGTTTCGCTTGCGGACTTTGCTGGGAGAACAGCGCGTTTGCCCGTAACTCACATCTGAGATGTTAACTACCTCGCCTGGTATACAGGAGTTCGATCCTGACGCCTGCTGCTGCTGTGTATTTGGAGTTTGCGTGTCTCCCCGGGTCCTTCGGGGTTTTCCCCTCCACATTTAGAATCAAAATCGCGCGTTTAGAGAAGTTGGCTGATGCTCTTCATCCTCACGTGATGAGCCACTTCGTTGCGCTATCCTTTGTGTATCTCAGTGGGCCTTACCTGGTAAAAATTTAAATAGTTTAGTTTAAGATGACTACAGTGGGTGCTAATATGCAAACGCGTTTTATTCCTGGCAGCTACCCGTCGGCTTCCGTACTGAAGATTAAATCCCTCACTGTGGTCCAGATGTCTTGTGACCCCCCCCCCCCCCCCAGTTAATTGTGGCCCTCACTTTTGTATTCCCCCTTTGCTGATTCATTTCTGTTTTAAATAAACCTTACTTTTTACTTTTTTATATGTATATATTAGTAAGTTTTAGATAATTAAATGGGGGGGAAGGGGGGTCACAGGACATCTGGACTACCCCTGTACTTCTAAAGATGAGCGCACAATAGAGAGTGGGGTTTACTGATGGTTATCTGATGGCTTAGTGATAGTTTAGTGATGGTTTAGTGATGGTCATTCCTAACGTGAGTTCACGGACTCGCTTACCCCAGGGGAGAAAAACAAGAGTCGTCGGAAATGTCCTCGCTCTGGGTGGGACAAGCTCTGCCCGGTTGACGTCAGATTGTTGCTACTGGAGGAAATCCGATAAGCTATAAAGCGCTTTTCTCGCCGATGTCCAGTCGGTGCGGGTCGCTGCTGCGTTGGCGCAAACGCACGAGGAGTGTAAGCGAAACGACTCAATTCGTCCGTCAATAACAACAGCGGCCTTCAACATACAACATTTATACAGAGCTGTAATGGGCGACGCTCCGGGCAATGACCCTTGAGTGTGCATGTAACGTGTGTTCAACTTTCTTTCGCACCGGTGAGAGAGTGTGAGTTTGAGAGAGACGGTGAGTTATGGCGAGTGTGTTTAGAATGTGATGGTGTGGTTCGTGTGCCATTGTGGGGAGCGGTGGTGCAGTGGATAGCGCGCCCGGTCAACACCAATCACGATTATCTGATCCGGTCCTGGGCCTCCCCTAGGTCGACTCAGCCTGAAATGAGTACCTGGTGCGGTGTGTAAACATCGCCACTGGGGAGACAAAGGCGGCCGGGCGTGGTGCTGGCCACCCACCCCCTCGCGTGCCACAGTGCCGGCCTTGACATGTGCTCGCTAACAGCACTTGCCCCTACAGTCTGTCGCCTGTTGTTGTGTAAGTTGTTGTTGTGTAAGCTTTATTTTTAAGGCCGCGGTGTTATTGACAAAGCGCTTCACACGCAGGAGATGTTACTCATCGGGGTGCACACGCACCCACTGGGGGGGGCGGGGGCGAGATGCCCTTTCTGAGTACCAAAGGGGCTGGTTCCAAGAGACTGCTTCAGATTTGGCCACTGACGTTAGCCGGGAATCGGCTGCGCTAACCGCTGTCCCACCGCTCCTGCCCCACCCCCCTGCGCAACCACGTGTGCCCTCCCGGCTCATCTCCACGGTGATTGGCTCGACCTGCGCCACGTGAACGTGACGTCAGACGAGAACTCGGCCAATCGCGGCGCGCTTCCCTAGACCGCGCACACAATGGCGTCCGGCAACCGGTGAGTTCCGCAACCTCCTCACCAACTCATCCTCACCACCTCACCCTCACCACCTCAACCTCATCGTCAACCTCACCTCCTCATCCTCACCACCTCATCGTCACCCTCACCACCCCATCGTCATCGTCACCACCTCCTCACTTCATCGTAATGTCGTCACCGTCACATCGTCATGTCCTCACCCTCACCACCTCACCCTCACCACCTCACCATCATCACCTCTTCACCTCATCGTCATGTCCTCACCACCTCAACCTCACCACGTCATCGTCACCCCCTCAACCGCCTCCTCACCACGTCATCGTCACCACCTCATCGTCACCTCAACCGCCTCCTCACCCTCACCACCTCCTCACCTCACCACCTTCTCCTCACCACCTCACCACCTCCTCACCACCGCCTTCTCCTCATGTCCTCACCACCTCCTCACCTCACCACCTTCTCCTCACCACCTCACCACCTCCTCACCACCGCCTTCTCCTCATGTCCTCACCACCTCTTCACCTAACCGCCGTCTCCGCTCCCCACGTCTCATCCTGCGCCTCACCGAGTCTCCCGTATCACCGTGTCTCCTCGCCTCGTCTCCTGCCTCACCTCGTGTCTCCGTGTCTCCTCACCACTCATCATCTCCTCGCCTCGTCCCTCCACGTGTCACCTCACCTCGTCCCCCTTTGTCTCCCCGTGTCTCACGCCCGCTTCTCACCCCCTCCCCAACCTTCCACCTCACTGCCGCCGTCACGGGCACGCTTTGTAGAGTCGGTGACAACTCCTTGCCGAGACCCCCATCATCATCACCATCATCATCGTCCCATAAAGCAGCTGCGTTAGCAACGTGCCATATACTGTACCTCCATGTCATCTACACGTGCACAGCGATGCTCTTGCGGTCATGCCGCTGTTCTTCATTATTGTTAATTACTGTGTTGAATAAAAAATGGTGTGCTCATCTTAATTATGTGCCCTAAGCGTTTTCGTAAGCGTTGGATAAACAAACACGGTCACGGTAGTGGCAGGACACGAGGAGGATCTACAGCCGTCGTGGTGTTTTGTCAACAACGTGGAACCTTGCCGCTGTTACTCTGTCCTCATTGTAACCCGGGCCTCCCCATGGAAAACAATAATTTCTGGTCTCAACTCTGGTCATGTATAGAGGTCATCAGATGAGATGATTTATCGATATGAGGTCATCACACCTGTGGGGCTGTGTGTTTGTCTGTGAGTCTCTATGTAAATCTGTGGGTCTCTATGTATGTCTGTGGGTCTCTATGTAAATCTGTGGGTCTCTATGTAAGTATGTGGGTCTCTAAGTATGTCTGTGGGTCTCTATGTAAATATGTGGGTCTCTATGTAAATCTGTGGGTCTCTATGTATGTCTGTGGGTCTCTATGTAAATCTGTGGGTCTCTATGTAAGTCTGTGGGTCTCTATGTAAGTTTGTGGGTCTCTATGTATGTCTGTGGGTCTCTATGTAAGTCTGTGGGTCTCTATGTAAGTCTGTGAGTCTCTATGTAAGTCTGTGAGTCTCTATGTAAGTCTGTGGGTCTCTATGTAAGTTTGTGGGTCTCTATGTAAGTCTGTGGGTCTCTATGTAAGGCTGTGGGTCTCTATGTAAGTCTGTGGGTCTCTATGTAAGTCTGTGGGTCTCTATGTAAGTCTGTGGGTCTCTATGTAAGTCTGTGGGTCTCTATGTACGTCTGTGGGTCTCTATGTACGTCTGTGGGTCTCTATGTAAGTCTGTGGGTCTCTATGTACGTCTGTGGGTCTCTATGTAAGTCTGTGGGTCTCTATGTAAGTCTGTGGGTCTCTATGTAAGTCTGTGGGTCTCTATGTAAGGCTGTGGGTCTCTATGTATGTCTGTGGGTCTCTATGTAAGTCTGTGGGTCTCTATGTAAGTCTGTGGGTCTCTATGTAAGTCTGTGGGTCTCTATGTACGTCTGTGGGTCTCTATGTATGTCTGTGGGTCTCTATGTAAGTCTGTGGGTCTCTATGTACGTCTGTGGGTCTCTATGTAAGTCTGTAGGTCTCTATGATGTTGGTCTCTATGTAAGTCTGTGGGTCTCTATGTAAGTCTGTGAGTCTCTATGTAAGTCTGTGAGTCTCTATGTAAGTCTGTGGGTCTCTATGTAAGTCTGTGGCTCTCTATGTAAGTCTGTGGGTCTCTATGTAAGTCTGTGGGTCTCTATGTAAGTCTGTGGGTCTCTATGTAAGTCTGAGGGTCTCTATGTAAGTCTGTGGGTCTCTATGTAAGTCTGTGGGTCTCTATGTAAGTCTGTGGGTCTTTATGTGAGTCTGTGGGTCTCTATGTAAGTCTGTGGGTCTCTATGTATGTCTGTGGGTCTCTATGTAAGTATGTGGGTCTCTATGTGAGTCTGTGGGTCTCTATGTAAGTCTGTGGGTCTCTATAAAAGTCTGTGAGTCTCTATGTAAGTCTGTGGGTCTCTATGTAAGTCTGTGGGTCTCTATGTCAGTCTGTGGGTCTCTATGTAAGTCTGTGGGTCTCTATGTGAGTCTGTGGGTCTCTAAGTATGTCTGTGGGTCTCTATGTAAGTCTGTGGGTCTCTATAAAAGTCTGTGAGTCTCTATGTAAGTCTGTGGGTCTCTATGTAAGTCTGTGGCTCTCTATGTAAGTCTGTGGGTCTCTATACAAGTCTGTGAGTCTCTATGTGAGTCTATGGGTCTCTATGTGAGTCTGTGAGTCTCTAAGTCTAACTCTGGGTGTCTGTGTGTCTATGCTTCTCCGTGTAAGTTTGTGGGTCTCTTAAGTATCTGGGTTTCTGCAATTCTATGGGTCTGTGTGGGTGTCTGAATTCTGTGGGTCTCTTTGTAACTGGGTGTATGTGTGTCTTCTTTATAAATCTGTGGGTATTTATGTAAATCTATGGGTCTCTGTAGGTTTTTGAGTCTAGTCTGTGGGTTTCTTATGTATGTGGGTCTCTATGTATGTTTTTAACTGGGTATCTATGTTCTTTGATGCTTGGGTTATTGTCTTCACATATATGGGTTTATGCAAGTAGGTATAGGTCTGGGGGTCATCATTTAAGTCTCAAGTTTTATATTTTTATGTGATGGTTTCTCTAAGTCTATGGGTCTCTAAGTATGGGTGTCTGTTTATTTGTTATTATCTATGTAAGTTTCTAGGTCACTATGTATGTGTATGGTTCTCTGTAAATCTATGGGTCACTATATGTTTCCAATGACATGGGTCTGTAAGTGTTGTCTCTGTACCTATGATGTTTTTAATCATACTTATTGAAACCCAGGTCTCCCTTGATTAAAAACAGAGCCCTCTAGACCTCACTGAGCTCACCTGGTCGTTAAGGTAACCTGATGATATGAACACATTGTGGTTAAACGGCATTGGCAGTGGTGCACGACCACAGATAAAAAACAAACTCAACACATTTGTCAATAACACTGCGTGGCCTTAAACTAAAATTTATATAATAGGCGACGTTTTGGGCAATTACTATTTCACTTTTTTAATTTACTATTTTTATTTTTGCCAGGTATGCTCCGCTGAACTATGTAGCTCTTTTTGAGAAGCGACCTGGCCGCAAATTATAGCTCAACGAAGCGGCTCATCACTTGCAAATGTAGCAGCCAAAATACTCTTAAATGCCCCCTTTGCACAGCAGCGCGTAGGCCAGAGAGGAAGGCGTAATATGATTACATCACAACAGTAACCGCACAGGGTGCCGCCTGGTCTAGACCGCGACCACTGACGATCGCCCCCCTTTTTAATTCCTTTATATTAAGTTTGCTTGCTTGCTTAGGACCGTGCAAATCTTTCGGTCGTTTTTTAACCCACTTCCCGTGATCCAATCGAGCTGACATTTTCCACACAGACTCATTGTGCCAGACAATTATTGTTCGTGAAAAAAAATTCCCAAAATTTTACACTTTTTAGGCAAAAAAAAATTATTTTACATATTCAAATAGAACGCATTCATGGCTTTGGCTGAATGTCAGAGTGTAAGAGCCCAGAGCGTAACCCCTCCACAGGCCGTGGCGGAGTAGCGCAGTTGGTAGCGCCCTCGCTTCCCATGCCAAAGGTCGCGGGATCGATCCCCGCGTCCTTCACAGGCGAATATATTTTTAAATCCTTTATATTAAGTTCGCTGCCACGCATATAAAGGATTTATAGTGAAAAACTTTGTTTTTACGGGTTATACTTATTGTCCGTTTCATGGAGAAGCTCTCCAATATCTGTCATCGCAAGGGCAGGTTGGAATAAAGCGGGGCGAAGTGCCTGGGCGCCATGCCGCCAGCGTCCTACGGAGATGAGAATCGGGATGTGAACCAAACCCCTCGGAGCCGGCAAAGTCGACTGCCGTGACCTCGATGACCTAAGTCGTAATCAGCGAGAGTGCTCCACAGACTCGGTTCTTTAACATTGTGTGAAGCACATTCATTATAATACATCTATTATTATAATACATCTATTATGATAAATTGACTTGGGACAATAATAATTCATCCACAAACGTTTCTATATATTGTTTTTTATCCATCAGGTTCGTGGTTTAAAGCTAATTTGTTTATCCGTATATAGGTAAAACATTATTTATTATGAATTTCGATAACAAACGGTCCCTCGCGCACGGGAAAATCAACATCAATAAGCCCTGTGGAGCCCTATTTTCCTCCTACTACTGCTAAATGAGGGCCTCCCCTACATACAGCTTGACGATACTTCACCAGTACGGATAGCGAAAGTGGGGGGACAGAGGCATGAGAGCCATGGGAGTTGAGTGCTAACAATTACGTTGCCGCACTGCGCTGCCTCTGGTTTCCTACCACATAGGCCCACAGCCTCTAACGACCTGTTGTGTGAAATCTTGATTTAAAGCTTTCGTGACTGCAGGGATTCGTATTCTTGGTTCTTTCGGTAGAGTCATGTAGAAGGGAAATAATACAAGAAAATTTGACATTTTCTTGCTGTGGATTTCACACCTGATGATGATTGCTTGTATTGCAGTCGAAACGTCGTGAGAATTTTTA